AAGCTTCTTTAGAAAGCGTACGTCCTTTTTGCTCTGCAGAAAACTTGTATTGAACAGCCCCATGTTTGAGTATATCAGAATCAGTAAAAGCGGTATGTTTCATCGCGCACGCATGCCTGTAGTCGCATTCGGTTTGTGGCCGATGACGAGAGCTCCGCTCCTACAAGGGCGTCTCTGCTCGCAGCTCGGGCAGCGCCACCTCTGCGACAGCGTGCGCCTCCCACAACGCGCTCGACACCTACACTCGCAAAGCTCTGTCACGACATTGTGCGCCCTCCACCGAGGGAGGGAGAGAGGAGGGTGGGCCACCTCCACCGGCATCCCTGCCCTCCGCGCGAGCGCCACCGCCTCGCCCGCGCCGTCGAGGGGAAGGATTCGCGTTCGGCCGCTCCCCTCGCGGCAATACAGCCTCGCCTCGGGAGGCAGCAGCGCCACGCCCGACGGCGCGGCCGGCGTGTTCGCCTTCATGTCTCTATATCGCACTGCGCCTGCGCCGCCGGGGCGCGCCAGCGCAACCTGCTTCGGCTCGAGCCCCGCCTCGGCCAGCGAGCGCAGCATGACTGCGGAGAGGTCCTCGCCCGCGAGAGGGTCGGCGGCGGCGCAACGGGCGGCGGAGAAGAAGCTTCCCTTCCGCAAGACGAGCGAAGCTCGCAGGGCCGCGGTACCGAAAAAGCCGCCGCCGCCGCCCGCTCCAACCGCGCTGCCTCGCTCCAATTCCTGCTCGAGCCGCTGTCCGTCGTCCCAGTCCAGCGAGAGTGGGAGCAGCGATCCGCCGGGCTCAGGCGTGGCGCAAATCAGGAGGTGCTCGGCGCCATAGCGTGGCTGTTCCAGCCGTCCAATCCGAAGCGGGACGACCTCAAACGTGGAGCTGTACTGGTCGGTGGCTTGCGGGTTGAGCCAGGATGAGGCGAGCAGCATGGTAGAGATCGAGCCAGCGCGCTGTGCGACAGGGATCGGGCTCCTGCAATCGCGGGAAAGATCCCCTGGCCTCGACGTGCAAGATTCGCGAATGGCCACCGGAGGCCTCGGCGTGTTGACAAGATCGCGTGCCGGGAATTGATGTTTTCTTTTTTCATGTTTTCTTGTTTTTGAAGCGTCCCGCGCTTCGCCCGCCGACGGTGCCGTTATGCTCGTGCCGTGCACGCTTTGTTCGCCGCCCCCCCGCGGCTCTAAGCATCCCAAGCAGTCTTCGGGCTGGCTCTCCTGGCCAGCCAATGACGACAATCGGACCTGCGCGCAGCACGCCCGCGCGGCGAGACGAGCGGCCGGCCACTACTCACAGGCCATCGCCGCATACCTACGGGCCGTGTATCCTACCGCCCTTCTCGATGGCGCCCGCGCACTGGATGAGCTGTTCCTCTCGCGGCTGTGGTACTACTCGCTGAGTCCCGAACCGCCGTGGGCGGTGCTGCTGGCTGCCCACGTGCCAGCCCGCACTGAGTTGCGGCCCTGGTGCGCCTCCTCTCCAAGGAGCCCGTTCCAAGGGAGGGTGCGCAGCCCCGACTGCCTCGCGGGACTATATGACGCTGACCTGCTGCGCTGCGCGAGCGCGTGCGCGTGCGCGACCGCGCTACGGAGCACAGGTTAGACGTTGGCGTCAACGGAAAGGGCGACGCGGCGGCGCGCAGCCAGCCACATGGCATCGTCGGCCAGTCCTTTGCCTCTAGCGCGGTGAGGAACGGCAAGGTCGGCGCCCCCACCTTTCCTCTCCCTTCGCCACACCGCGCACCCCCTTCATGCCTCCTGCGCCAGGTGGATGTCTACCCCGACTCGGGCGAGTTCACGACCAGTGCGATGGCGGAGGGCGCCATTGACGGCTCGGCCAGCGACTACGAGGTCGCCTCAATGTTTGCCACCGACTTTGCCTTTTCGCGCTTCAATGCGGCCGAGAGGAGCCGGACAGTGGCGTCGTCGAGCACTGCATCCAAAATCAACAAGATCATTGACTCGATGCGTAAACGCGGCTCGATCGCTAGAAAGGCGACGGCGTCAGATGGCCGATAGCCGCTCCTCGTAGGGGTGAGCTGGGATCAGCACATGCATGTGGGGCGTTGGCGAGTGAAGGTGGTGGAATTCGACGTAAAAAAGAAATGAGTGTGGGACTGCCCAGCGGTATGCCTCGCACCCGATCGAAGAAGCGCGCTCCTGCGTCCTCTTCATCCGGCGGTGCGTCGGGCAGCCTCTGCGAACGGTCGCCGGCTGCGCTACGGCTGATCTCCGAGTGCCTCGACAGCGACGACCTGCTGCTTCACGTGCTCGGCCTCCTGCCGCTGGCGGGCCTCGGCCGTGCGGCGTGCGTCTCGTCCCGCTGGGCGAGGCTCGCTGCGAGCAACTCGCTCTGGGCGTCTCTTGCGGAGCGAGTGTGGGAGGGCCGGCACGTCTCCGAGGCTTGCCGCGCGCAGCGGCGGCAGCACGGCAGGAGCGCACTCCGCCGCTCGCTCGCCGAGTCGGAGGCGCGGCACATTGACCCGTCGCTGCTGTGCGAGCTGACGTGGCACTTTCGCTTCAAGCGCGCCGCTGGGGAGCACTGGACAGGGAGCGACCCGTACTGGCAGGGCGCCCGCGCGCGCACGCTCCGCTTTGAGCCCGACGGCGCCGCGCCCGCTCAGAGGGGAGGGAGACGCGGGAGACACGCCCACGACATGTCCGCGGCATGCCCTGCAGGCGCTGTCCGCTGGGAGGAGGAGGCGTGGGACGGGCTGATGCGGTGGCGGCTGGAGGGCGGCTCGCTGCTGCGGGTGTCACACGCTCAGCTTGGCGCCTTCCCCGCCGAGCGGCTGGTGCGGCATCCGCCGAGCTGGGGGTGCGCTCCCAGACGCGGGGGATTCGGACGAGATCTAGCACGCTCGAGACTCCCTCGTCAGCATTCGTGTGCACGCGATGCTCCGACCCCGCTGGTCCCGTGCTCACGC